AAATGTTTTGTATTATATGGTTTAATTCAACTGGATTCTCATAACTAATTCTGTGCTCAGACTGTTATGACACATTATTTTGGTCAAAGAATATGAAGAAAACCTGGCCCCACAGATGTGTAAATGGAAAAGGTGGGTATTTTTAATGGCCTTTTCAGATAACTGTGCATGTTCTTCTTTGTGCTATACCAGTAGTAGAAGTTTTAAAAACTTTGTTGCAATGTGGAATATGAAACCATAAACCATATCATATTCTATTACATTAAAATCAATTTGTATAACTTTACCTTTGAATGGCTCCTCATCCATGCATGACTATGTAACATTTTGCTGTGTTCTTTTGGAAAATACTGGCTCACAGAGTTCTGCAGATACCCCAACTACTGTCACATTTCATTGTATTACATCAAAAAATTGCATTCATGGGTTGGGGATGTAACTTAATGGTACAGCACTTGCCTAGCATGTATGAGGCTCTGGATTTGATCCTAGGCACAGCAATCAATAAACAAACACATTCATGCATATCACTGCCAATCTTACCACAAAAGTCTTTAAATATTCATTTGTATTCAGCTCATGGTAGTGGGTACAAGTTTTCCAAATTTTTATTTTCTGTCACTGGGAACAAATATTTTCAAAGGTGTGTGTGTGTGTGTGTGTGTGTGTGTGTGTGTGTGTCTAGAACTGGGGATTGAATTCAGGGGCACTCTACCAATGATCTATATCACTCCCTCCCTTTTTTTCTTTTTTTTTTAAACTTTGTGACAGGGTCTCACTAAATTGCTGGGACTGACCTTGCAACTCTCCAGAGTAGCTGAAATCGCATTCATGTGTCACTGTGCCTGGTCTGGTGTTTTTTTTTTGTTGTTGTTGTTGTTTTTTGTTTTTGAAATGACTGGATGACTTTTTTTTAAGATTTTTTAAAATTTTATTTTAATTAGGTATTTTTGACAGCAGAATGCATTTTGATTCATTGTACACAATTACAGCACAACTTTTTATTTCTCTGGTTGTACACAATGTAATGTTGCACCATATGTGCAGTCCTACATGTACCTAGGGTAATAATGTCCATCTCATTCCACCATCTTTTGTGCCCCCATACCCCCTTGCCTTCTCTCCCTCCCCTTTGCCTAATTAAAGTTCCTCCATTTTTCCTATGCCCCCCTCCCCATTATGAACCAGCATCCACTTATCAGAGAGAACATTTGGCCTTTGGTTTTTTTGGGATTGGCTTGACTTTTTGAGGAAATACCTCCCAAATGCCCCAAACCAAATAACCACTGTCTTGTCAGTACTCTTTCAAATAAAAATGATGTTCTATAAAGAAAACGATTAGTTTAACTACACAAAAGCTTTTCCTTGAGACACCATTGTATTAAGAATATACACCAGAAGTGCTTTATATTCTCAAGGAGTGTCTCCAGATCAGCAGCATTAGTATAGCAGGGAACTTGTTAACAATGTAAACTCTCCTGTCCCACTCAGACCCACTGACTCAGAAGCCATGACTCAGGTGAGGGGAGGCAGTATTCTGTGTCTGACCTCTAGATAATTCTTTTAAATCTGAGAACTGCTGTTTCTGAGTTAAAGCAGTGATTCTCGGTCTTGGTTACAGAATCACCTGGAGAGATTAAACTCCCCAATACTTAATTACTCTTCATCAATTAAGTCAGAATCTCTGAGTGGGACCCAGGCATCAGTAATTTTTAAAGTTCTTCTGATGATTCCAAAGTGTAGCCATTGCCTTAGGCCATTTTCTTAAACAATTCTCTGTTCTGTTCATGTCTGGTACAGGATAGTTGGGTATTGAAAATGGGGCTATCTGACAAATTCCTGCAGTGCTAATAACCACTGCTTTGAGGTAGATAAAAATCAATTGTGTTTTCAGAACCATTTTTCCATACTGAGTAGTCAGGAAATTCTAAGTGGTAAACTAGGAGAACACCAAATACTTCTGATTAGTCATGCCCGCTCCCCGACCCCTGGTTTTTTAGCAAAATGATATTGGCAGGTCCAGTAAGGTCCCTGCTTTGATTATCAGTGAAGCTTCCTCTTCAGCCTCCAGAGCTTGCTGTTCTCCACGGCCTTCATTTTTTCATAGACTGTCTCCAGTTAGCAGTTTTTACCCTTCACATTTTATAATAATATTTTTATTACCCTATTACTACCCTCAAATGCAATACATACATAATGCAACCTATTTACATACATCAGTTTAAAAATCAATATGTAGCTAGTCATAGTGGTGCGTGCCTGTAATCCCAGCTACTCAGGAGACTGAAGCAGAAGGAATGCAAGTTCCAGGCCAGCCTCACCAACTTAGTGAGACCCCATCTCAAAATAAAAAGGACTAAGAATGTCTCAGTGGTAAAACACACTGGGTGCAACCCTCAATACCAAATAAAAAAAATCAATGTAGTCCTCTTCCTATTATAAAGAATAGAAGAATGAGATTATAATAATATATATGGCAAAATGTAGATGCTTGAGAACACCAGACATAATGAAGTTGTTAGAGGTTAGCATATGAATTTTATTAAAAATTTATTATGAAAAAATTCAAACATATACTAGAGATAATAATAAAATGGACTACATGGTTTCCTCAGTGCCCAGGTTCAATAATTATCAATTATTAATACCAGTCTTTTTCACTTGTACCAATACTTCTTAAAAGGTGGCATCAGTGTCACCTTGGAAGATTATTAGAAATATAATCCGTTAGCTGTATCCCCGACATGGGATCAGAATCTCTGAGTTAGAACCCAAGTACCTGTTTTTGTTTTTTTCTCTTTACAATGCTAGGGATTAAACCCAGGGTGCTCTACCACTAAACTACATCACCAGTTCTTTTAAATTTTTATTTTGACAGGGTATGTTAATCAGTTTTGCATCTCCATGATCAAAATACCTGACCAGAACAACTTAGAAGAAAAAGTTTATTTGAGGCTTATGGGTTCAGAGGACACAATTCTTAGATGACGGACTCCATTGCTCTGTGCCAAAGATGAGGCAGAACATCATAGTGAAAGGGCCCAGAGAGAAAAGCTGCTCAACTAATGGTGGGATCAGGAATAAGAGGGAGAGGGATGGAGGAGCCATGTCCCTAGTGACCCACCTCCTCCAGCCCCCTGCCTATAGTACTTACTTAGGCCGTTCAAACAAGGGTGGATTGATTAGGTTACAGTTCTCGCAATCTCTGAAATATTCCTGCATTAACACAGGAGTTGGGGGGACATCTCATATTCCAAACCATAACACAGGATCTCCCTAAATTACTCAGGCTGGCCTTGAATTTGCAATCATTCTGCCTCAGCTTCCTGAGTCTCTGAGATTATAGGTAAGTGCCATCACACCCAGCTAGGAATCTATTTTAATAATCTCTCCAGCTGATTTGCTGAAGTCTAAGAGCCACTATGTATGTACATGTGTACATTTACACACACACACATGTAACATCTCTACCTTTTCAGATTTTTTTAAAGCTAGTCCCAGACAGCACCCATATAATTTAAAAAATTATCACATATTATGTCACCTAAGGAAAATTGAATTATGTAATCTTTAATATCATCACATATCCAGAGTTAAAATTGTCTCAAATTTTCATAATTTTTTTTAAGTGCTGATGGTTGAACCCAGGGCCTTGTATATTGCTAGGGGAGTGCTCTACACTGAGCTATATCCCCAGTCCTCTTTTTAAGACAGAGTCTCACTAAATTCCTGAGGTTGGCAATCCTATAACTTCAGCTTCCCAAGTAGCTGGGTTTATAGGTGTATGTCACCATTTGTTATCATTTATACATATATATGTATTGATTAACTGAGTTATTTATTAGTTTCACACATTCAGGATTTTGCTAATTGTGCCCCTGTGTGTCATTTTGTCATATTCCTCTTTTCTCTATATTTATTGTAGTTTGGTTTTTAGTTCTACAGCCTTGATCTATCAGGTTTGATTTTGGCAGGGGCAGGAATAGTTCATAGCTAGAACTACTTCTTTCCCATTTCATCCCAGTTAGGTGTCTGGCTCTTTTGTTTTCTGCTGTTAAGGTTGATTAATGGGTACAAGTGTTGGTAGCATGATCATCCTGGATTGAAGTTTCCCAGTCAGTCTTTGTGCCATGTATACAATGCAATAATCCTAATCTTTCCCAAAGGACATAGGGCACTTACCTAGGCAAGACATTTATTCTGGGGGAAAGGAAATACCTAGTCACTTCAAGGAGCTTTTAGACTTAGGGTCTGAATCAACTGTGATAACTAGAGAACCCAAACCTCCTCATGGTCTTGCTGTAGAGTTGGGGATTGTAGGATCAGGTAACAGGCACAGCAAAAGTCTGTTTTACAGTGAATTCACTGAGTCTAAAGATCCACTTGTTGATCACTTCCCTGGTCCCTGAGTAAATAATTAAGGAGACATCCTTGGTAGTTGAAGTATTGTGAAGTACTCAGGCTGTTGGATAAGAGCTATCACAGTAAGAAAGTCTGACTGGAAGCCCTTGAAATTGTCTACTATCCCAGTAAAGATAGAAAATAAGAAACAATATAGTGTTACAAGGGAGATGGTGATAAGTAGTATCACTCTTAGGTTCTACAAAGTGAATGCAGGTTGCCACAGCAAGTTTAACCAAGTAGTCCCAATTGAAGCTGTGCTGGACATGCTACCATGCTATGAAAGATTTAAATTTTTTTTTAGTTGGTAGATGAACACAATACCTTTATTTACTTATTTTTTTTTAAAAATAGTTTTTAGTTGTTGATGGACCTTTTACTTTTTTAAAAAATATTTTTTAGTTGTTGATGGACCTTTATTTTATTTATTTGTATGTGATGCCTCATGCATACTAGGCAAGCACTCTATTTATTATTGAGCCACAACCCCAGCCGCACTATTAAAGATTAATCAGGCTTCTGAAACACGTTTTGTGGACACTGATGTGGTAAATACATTCCTTTTTATTTCAATCAGAAATGAGAATAAGACGTTTACATTCATGTGGAAAAGACAATATTTATTTTCAGTTTTGTCCAAGGACTATGTTAACTTCTTCAATCTCTTTGCAATAAAGTCTGAGAGACCTGGATTGTCTGGACATTCTACAGAACAGCACTGTGATATATCAGTAATGTGCTGATGGGGCAGAATGAGAAAGGGCAGCTTGTATGGCAGAGGCCTTGGTAAGACACATAGATCCAGAAGGTATAAGGTAAAATCTGGAAAGATCCAAGAATCTGACACTTCTGTAAAGTTTTAGTGGTCTAGTAGTCAGTGGCATGCGAAGACAACCTCTCTTTTGTAAAAGACAAACTTTTGCATATTGCATCTCCTACTATAATGAAGCAAGATGTCTAATGGGCCTCTTTGGGCTCTGGAAGCAACAAATTCCACACGTGGGAATATTCCTCTAGCTCATATCCTGGGAGACATGGAGGGATGTATGCTCCAAGTGCAACCAGGAGCAGCAAAGGGCACTGCAGCAGTCAGTGTGGAGTTTACAGCAAGTCTCAATGGGAGATCAGAATATAGGACTCTGGAATCTAGGAGAAAGGCCACGCCATCTGCAGCACAGGATTTTACTCCTTTCAAGAAACAGCTCCTCATATGGTATTAGACCCTCATAGAGACAGAAAGCTTGACTGTGGGTTAAAGGTTATCATGTGTCTAAAAGTGTCCATCATGAGCTCAGTTATAAAGTTAATGGGCCCAGCATAATACAGAAATGATGCATTCAAAATCAAACACCAAAAGGACAAGAGGGTTTGAGTAAGCTGCATGAATTAATTAGTAGCACAGACCCCTCTATATTTCTCATGATGGTGGCATCTGCACCCCTTCCTCAGGCTGCACATGCCATAGGAGGAGAAGAAAAAAGGTCAAACTTGATTATTAATGGATTGGTTTGGTATATGAGTGGAAAGTATACATTAAGGGGTCACCCTGAAAGGCAGCTTAGAGGAAAAATCTTCCTCATAGGCAACTTTATGTGGAAGGAGAAGTGACTTGGTACTGAGAATCTGTACAGATTCCTTGGCAATGTTAGTGGCCTGGCCAGCTAGTCAGGATCCTGAAGGAAAAGATGAAGGTTAGAGAAAAAGAGGTCTGAATACAGGCATGTGGATGTACATAAGAGAGTGAGCACAAAGGGTGAAGATTTTTGTTATCTCATGTTTATTCTGACCATAAAGCACCATCACTAATGAAAGAGAAACTGAAAAAATCAAATAGATAAAAGAATTCTACCAGTTGATGTTAGCCAAGCTTTGTCATGGTCCATTCCAAAATGGCACATAAATGGAATGGCCATGTTTGCAGAGATGGAGGCAACACATGAATAAAACAGCATGAGTTCCCACTGACCAAGGCCAATCTTATAGCTACTTCTGCCTTTCAAAGTCTAATTTGCTAGCAGCAGAGACTGACATTGCATCCCTGATATGGCTTTAATACTTGAGAGATAAATTAGCCACTTGATGTTAATTCAGTAACATGGATTCCCGATTCCCGAAGTGGCTTGTGGTTCAATCTCATAGGGCTACTTATTCTGGGTATGACTTTTTGTCTGAAGGGCCTCAGCCCATATCATTATCCAGGGGCTTAAAGAAGGACTCAGACATAGGCATGGGATCCAATTCAACATAGCATCCAAACAGGTGAGCCACTTCATAGTAAAGGTAGTAGTGTGAGCTCATGATCAAGGGATCTATTGGGTGTGCTTTCCAGAGCAGCCAGCCTGATAGATCACTGGGAAGCCTACTGAAGGTGCCTCTGAATATTTTGCCAACAGTGAAGTGTCATCCTTTAGGATGCAGCATACACAATAAATCAGAGATCTAGGTATGGTCCTGGACTGGGACCAAAAGCAGGGGAAGCAGAAGTGGTCCCCACTTAACATCACTCCTACTGACTCATTAGGGAATGTATTCTTACACCTCTGTTCCTATTCTTACAACTCTGGGCTTTGAAGGTTTAGAAGTCCTAGCTTCCAAAGCGGATGCTTTTTTTTTTGCTAAGGGTCTCATTGAACTATAAGCTATAGCTATTTGGGCACTTTGGACTTTTCATGTCCAGGTACCAGCAGGCAAGAAGAGGAGTTCCCATCTTGGCAGGGTAACTGATCAATAAGGAGTAAAAGGACTGCTTTCACACAATGGGTGAGGAAAAATGTATGTGAACTTGAGAGCCTTTTGATACTTAATTGTAACTATGGAAGGACATGTACAACAATCCCAGAGTGAGATGCATGTCATTTCTATATATAAATATACTTCCTAATCAGGAAATTAAGGATTTGGGTTACACCCAGGTAAACTACTAAGACCTGTGGCAAAGATAGCTGAAGGAGAGTAGAATTTGAAGTGGGCAATGGAGGGAGAGGGGGATAAGTAGTAGTTGCAGTCCTGAGACCAACTGAGTGACAAGGGCTATAATTTGTCCCAATAATCACCTTCTTCTAGTTGTATCTCAAGAAGAGAGGTCCAGAGGAATTATAGAGGAGCTGTTCCTATTCAAGAAAGAACCTGCTGCAAAGACCAGAAAAGAAACATAGGATTGAAAAACCATGAAAAAGTATAGATGCAAATATTTTAAGGTAACAGAAATATCAGGGAATGATACTTATGAAGAAGATGAAGCAGATGACGAAGATGAAGGAACTAAAAAGGAATCCTTTGACAAAATGTCTCCAACAGCAATTTAAAATGGCATTGGTTCACATCCAAAAAAATTAAGATGCAAAATAAAAATAATGCTATGAAAATGCCTCAAAGCTGGCCTATTGAGAAACAGCTACTGGCTAAGTAAATTAATTAGTTAGCATTTGTTAATGGTGATGAGAAGATTTTCCAAGAGAAAAGTGTGAAAAACTCTGCCTATAACTCAGGCAAGGGGTTCCAGACCATCTACTAAAAATATGGTTAGCTGTGATGTTAAAACTGTGAACATGAATTAAACTGATAATGAAGTGGGACCTTAAAAATCTGAACAAGACACCAATAGGGGTGGTAAGAGCACTGATACTGTAGGCCAGGTTGAGACACTTCTGTACATTCTAATGTTCTCCTTCCTGACAACCATAAGCAAAGTATACCCAAGTTTACAAAAGCTATTGAAGTCAAAAGAAAAAAAAAACTGTTTCAACTCGATAAAAAATGTGAATACCCCTGCAGCCTGGGAACTGCAGCTCATCTTGTTTTCCATGCTGGATTTCAACTCCCAGCTTCATCTCCCAAAACTTATCTCTGTATCCAACTTTTAACCTGTTAAAATAAAAAAGAAAAAGGAAAAGATAAAAAGGGAAAAAATCAAAATAGCCACCTTGTCAAATCTCAGATATTCGTGTTTATGTTATCTTGTTCTCCTGCTTTACAAGCAAAGGTTTCTCTGAATACAGTGTCATTTTTTTATTTTGTTTACTTATTTTATGTGATGCTGAGGATCGAACCCAGGGTCTCACACGTGCGAGGCAAGCGCTCTACCACTGAGCCACATCCCAGCCCTATAGTGTCATTTCTGAGAGAGATATGAACGAAGGGAGAGCAGAGTGTGTGGGGAGACTGAGAATGGAAGAGACCACCCCAACTGCTGTGACCATAGTTAGCTGACAGTCTTTCAGTGCCATGCTTGGTGGGATTCACCATAGCATTTACCCTACAGCTGTACCCTCCCAGAACCACTCTCCACCAATGGCTAAACACAGCAGTAGTTACTGGAGCAGACAGACTATGTCTGTCTAAATTGGGACCCTCTCAAAATGGTCAGTCTTTTTTCCGAGGCTCTTTATCAGTTTGGCCAAGACTTACTCAAAGCTGTACTATAGCCTAAGACTCTTCCAATCTAATTTTCTTCCTCTTCTCATGACGTGGGTGTCTACATCATAGTCTGAAGACTCTCCCTACCTACTGATTCGTCTCCCCTTTAAAAAATTGTCCCCCAATCAATATTTTGCATACATAATTCTGCCTTTGCATACATTGTCTGCTTCTTTCAGTATTAAGATCTGACTAAAGTCCTGTGTATTGCAGGATGTCTTCCATTCCTGGAATCTTCCATAAATATTGGTACCTCTGGTCCCCAACCTTGAGGCAAATAATGACATCTCCAAAGATTTCTAAAATGCTTCTATTAAGAATCATTCACTTGGGGCTGGGGCTAGGGCTCATCAGTAGAGCGCTCGCCTAGCATGTGCTAGGTGCTGGGTTCAATCCTTAGCACCACATAAAAATAAATAAATAAAAATAAATATTAAAAAAAGAAAAGAATCATTCACTTAAAGCATAATCATCAAGATCACAAAATTTAGAGTTGGAAAAGATCGTACAGATCAAAAAATGTTCAGAAAAAGTTTGATGACTTCCTTCATTTCTCTCTTCTCTTTCTTCCAGCCCTTCACTTTCTACTAATCCTCTAATCTTTGCTGGGTATGGTGGAGCATGCTTATGATCCCAGCTACTTAGAAGGATGAGGCAAGAGGATCACAAGTTTGAGGAAAGTCTGGGCCACTTAGCATGATCCTGTCTCAAAATTTAAAAAGGGCTGGGAATGTAGCTCAGTGGCAGAGCACCCCTGAATTCATTACCTGGTATCAAACATAAAACAAACAAAAAGTGAAAAAACAACAAAAATATAATTCTTGCACCTCAACTGAAATTAATACAATTTGAACAGGTTATGAACATCAAAGAGAGTACAGCCTCAGGATTTGGAGAAAAATTTAGGATCACCTTCTGAAAGTGAAACTAGAAAAAAAATCAGCCTAAAGTAGATAAAATTAGCCCCTGCATAAACAACCTACCCTTTTAATTGGCTCTGAACATAGTTTTTTGATTAGTTTGCTTTCCAAATTTTCCATCATGTCATGAAGATACATTCTCAGGAAGACCCTTCTCTGAAAGTGGAGGTCCTGTAGACTAAGCAGTAGTAAGTAACATTATCTAAGAAAGAACGAAAAATTTTAATTGTTAGTGTAGCAGTGATCATTTTCACTTTTAATTAAACAAATATTCATTTACTACATGTGTTATCTGCCTACTATGTGCCAAGCATTTTAAGCAGCAGCACAGGGCAAACTATGTTAAGTGGGACATGATCTTTTCTAAGAACTTATTGTCTGGAGCATGCAGTTTAAGGGAGAGATATTATCCCAAAAGGGATAAAAACTGGCTTTGGTGGTGGTAGAGGAACCCCTTAGATATTTCAATGGCTAGTGGCCCTCCAAAGAGCCATAGAGGAACAGATATACAGTCTATCTGTAGTTTAAGATTTCATGGGCATGTGACAGGGGATGTAATTAGGAAAAATATCTAAAATGGCTCCTGAGGGGGTCAATTATGAAAATTGTCAAGTTGAGAAATTTGGTCTAGAGGAGAAAAAAATGAAAGAAAAATGGGAAAAGAGGAGTGAAAAATGAGAAGGTATGTTAAATTTCAAGAGCCATATCCATGACATATAAATTCTTTTCCTTGACATTCTGAAATACAAGTTTATTCCTCTTATATTATTTCTAGCTATGATAACAAAGTATTAAATCTGAAAAGCAATACTGGATTGCCTGCTCTTTATTAAAATAATTCTTATATCCTAGCCAGGCACAGTGGCTCATGACTGTAATCCTAGTCACTCCTGAAGCTGAGGTGGGATGATGGCAAGTTCAAGGCCAGCCTGGGCACCTTAGCAAAATCCCTATATTAAAATAAAAAATAAAAAGGGCTGGGGATGTAGAGTGCCACTAGGTCAATCTTCAGTACTAAATAACCAACCAACCAATCTATATCCTAAAACAAAAACATTGTTTCTTGCTCAAATACTCCAAATGTCCTCACTTTTTGTTATATATAAAATTGAAACTTTAAAAAATATTTTTAGTTGTAGATGGACACCTCTATTTTATTTATTTATTTTTATGTGGTTCTGAGGATTGAACCCAGTGAGGCAAGTGCTCTACCACTGAGCCACAACCCCAGCCCCCAAATTTAAACTTTTAAAACAATGTCCTTATTGAATTTCTCAATACCTCATTTTCCCACTTACCTGCAATGTGAATTTTGTTAGACTGACAATATGGAATACTTAACTTTTGGGTTTTTAAAAATATTTATTTTTAAGTTTTAGGTGGACACAATATCTTTATTTTACATTTATGTGGTGCTGAGGATTGAACCCAGTGCCTCATGCATGCTAGGCGATCACTCTACCACTGAGCCACAACCCTAGCCCCTTGGGTTTTTTTTTTGGTACCAGGGATTGAACTCAGGGGCACTTGACCACTCCACGTCCCCAACCCTATTTTGTATTTTATTTAGAGACAGGGTCTCACTGAGTTGCTTAGCATCTTGCTTTTGCTGAGGCTGGCTTTGAACTTGGGATGCTCATGCCTCAGCCTTCTGAGCCTCGGGGATTATATGCCTGTGCCACCGCGCCCAGTGATGTCATAGTAGACCAACTCATTGATTATTGTTTGAGCACTTTTTAAGCTTTTCTGCAGTTCACATTTATTCCTTAGGATCATATAAGGTTGTTCCTCCATATCCATAGGACTTCCCTATGGGTACCACAATCTGTGGAGGTTCAAGTCCCTTGTACAAAATGGTGTAGTATGTACATATGACCTATGTATATCCTCCTATATCCTTTAAAATCATACACACTTTATTACTATAGTTTGGATCTTAAATGCCTACCTCTAAGATCTATGTGTTAAAGGTTTGCTCCCCAGCATGGTGCTTTTGGGAGGTGATGGATACTTTAAGAAGTGAGCCTAGTAGGTCATCTTTAGGTCATTGGGAGGAGGATTCCTTTGAAGGGAATAGTGTAACCCCAGCCCCTCTTCTTCCCAACTATAGGATGAGCAGTTTTGCTTCACCATGCACTCCCCTCCACAATGTATTGCCTACCACAGGCCCAAAATTAACAGGGCCAACTGATCATGGGCAAAAATCTCCAAAACTGGGAGCCAAAATAAACCTTTTCTTTTTATGAGTTAAGACTATCTCAGGTATCTGTTTATGGTGACAGAAAGCTGAGCAAAACATTTATAATAACTAATACAATGTAAATATTGTTATATTATCCTATTTAAGCAATGACAAGATGCTTGTATATGTTTTTACAGACACAATATTTTTCTGAATATCGTCCTTTTCCCAGTTGGTTGAATTCATGGATATGAAACCCCAAGAGATAGAAACCATGGATATGGAAGGCAGACTGTACTTCTTTTTGCCGAATCTGTACATACCAAACAACTTTCTGATAACTAGTCAGATTTCTTGGTATGTTGATATCAGGAAGGGAGTGACTTTGCTAGCAATCATTAGTATTTCAGTGAATGGAAAGGTATAATTTCTACCAGCACTTTTAAATATATATTTTACTGTGGTATAATTAATACAGAATGAAATACACATTATCTTAAATGTTCGTTTGATGAGTTTTGACAACTGTATTATACTGTATAACCACCACTTGAAACAATATACAGAACCTTTCCATCATTAAGATCCCTTGGACTTATCTTGCTGTCTCTTGTAATCACTTAAGTTTCTAACACTTAAGTTTCTAACACCTTAGTATTGTCTTAGATTTCATATAAATAAAATTGCATAGTATGTACTCTGTTGTGCCCAGCTTCTTGTTTATCAAAATATTTGTGAAATTTATCCATGTTGTCAGGTATATTGGCAGTTTGCTGCTTTTTATTGTTGAGTTGTTTTTCATTGTATGAAATATATAATAAGTTTTACATTTTATCTGTTTCTGTTCATGTGTATTTAGGTTATAACATTTTTGGTTATTATGAATAAGGTTGCTCTAAACATTCTGTGTATGAGTTGTGTGCAAGTGTGTACCTGTATTTTCACTTCTCTTGGTTAACTGAGATTTAATGAATCATGAATAGGGAAATGAATGTTCAGCTATAAAAAAAATTGCCAAGCAGTTTTATAAAGTATTTTACACTTACATGAGTAACTTACAAGTTTTAGCTGCTTAACATCTTCACTGGTATTTGGATTATAAAACTTTTTTATTTTAGCTCCTTGGAATGTATGGAATGGAATATATTGTGGCTTGAACTTGCATTCCTTTGATGATTAAAACTATCAAGCAAGCCCCCCTATTGTTTTATTGTATTAAATTATGTGTATACATAATACAAAATTATTATTATGGGGAACCCAGGATGTGCTACCACTCCACTTAACACATCCCCAGTCCTTTTTATTTTTTATTTTGAGATATGGTCTCATTAACTAGCCAAAGCTTGAACTTGTGATCCTCCTGCCTTAGCTTCCTGAGTCTCTGGGATTACAGGCATGTGCCACCAAGGCCCGTAATTTTGTATTATTTATACACATAATATAAAATTTATCTCAACCATTTTTGGGTGTATAGTTCAGGGGTATTAAATACATTCATAATGTTGTGCTGTCATCACCATCATCCATCTCCAGGATTCTTTTCATCCTATAAAGCTTAACTCTGTTAAGGAATAACTCCCCATTTCCCCTTTTCCCCAGTCTCTGGCAACTACCATTCTTCTGTCTCTATGGTTTTGACTACTCTAGGTAGCTCACATAAGTGGAATCATACAGGATTTGTCATTTTATGACTGGATTTATTTTATGTAAAATAGTGTCCTCAAGTTCCATCTGTGTCAAAATTTCCTTCCTTTGTAAGGCTGAATAGTACTCTATTGAATGTAGATAGCACGTTTTGCTTCTTCATTCATGCAAGGTTAATAGACAATGGACTGCTTCCATGGTTTAGGAATTTTGAATAATGCTGCTATGAATATAGGTGTACAAAAATTTGAGACCATACTTTCAATTATTTGGGGTATATACCCACAATTGGAATTGGTAGATTATATGGTAATTTTATTTTTAGTTTTTTGAGAAGCTACCATACTGTTTTCTTTGGTGGTTGTATCATTTTACATTCTCACCAACAATGTACAAGGATTTCAATTTCTCCACATCCTCACCAACATTTCTTATTTTTAATGCCATTCTAATGACTTTGAAGTAGTATCTTACTGTAGTTTTGATTGCATTTCCCTATATTAGTGACACTGAGCATATGTTCAGGTGCTTATTAGCCATTTGTATGTCTTCTTTGGAGAAAAGCCTATTAAACTTTTTTCAGTCTTGTTATATTGGTTTCTTATTGTTGAGTTTCAGTTCTCTAATTTTTCTGGATATTAATTCCTTATCAGTTATGTGATCTGCAAATACTTTTTCTAATTCTGTGGGTTATCTTTTTGCTCTATTGATGGCATCTTTTCTAAAAATATTTTTCTCTTGGTTGTTGATAGATCTTTAATTTATTTATATGTGGTGCTAAGAATCGAACCCAGTGCCTCACACATGCAAGGCAAGTGCGCTACCACTGAGCCACAGTCCCAGCCCAATGAAGGTATCTTTTGATGCACAAAATTTATTTATTTGAGGTACTGGGGAACCAAGGGCTTGTGCTAGCACTCCACTTTAACACATCCCCAGCTCTTTTTTATTTTCAGATAACTAGCTGAAGCTTGAATTGTGATCCTCCTGCTTCAGCTTCCTGAGTCTCTGGGATTACAGGCATGTGCCACCATGCTCAGCTGATGCACAAAATTTGCTGGGTACAGAGCTACACACCTGCAATCTGATTAACTTGGGAGGTTGAGACAGAAAGATCGAAATTTGGAGGCCAATCTGGGTGAGTCAGCAAGATCCTGGCTCAAAATTAAAGAGCTGGGAGTATACCTCAGTGGACAATGTTTACCTAGAATGTGCAAGGCCCTGGGTTCAATCCCCAATACTACCTAAATAAATATTTCTATTTTTTCTTTTGTTGCCTATGCCTTTGATGTAATAATCAAGAGATAACTGCTAAATCCAATGCCATGAAGTCTTTGTCCTATGTTTTCTTCTAAGAGCTTTATCTCTTAGTT